ATCACTTGATGCAACCAAGTGAAGGGGTTTGCCACTATCTGTGGCTCATCAGAGTGCAACAGTGCATCTGAATACCCTTTCCCTTGGCCATGCCCCTTGGAGCATCCTTGCTGTCCCCAGGGAAGGCATCACATTCTGCAGATCACAGCAGATTACCTGTTGATTTTCCTCCCCTTTCACCCACTCCCTCCCTGTTCCTGCCAGCATCTTAGGCCTAGGGATATTCCCCTCTCTGGCATGCTGCTGTCTCTGCTCAAAACATGTCTCACTTGTAGGCTGCTCTGAACACGCTCAGAAAGAGGCTCCAGCACACTAAGACTTTCCCAGAGGCCTTGCCTTGCAACAAGCTCACTAGGAGTAAAAGGACCAAGGGAAGGGGAAGAGAAGCCAGGCACCAGGCTCCAGATCCTGCTCTGGGAAGGTAAGTGACCCCAGGCACGTGTGTTTGGTTTGCTGAGTGTTTGCTTGGTGGGCTGTGTGTTAGGGCCTGTGCTCCGACCAGCTGGAAGTGTGGCTAGCTGGGTGATTGCTGCCTATGTCTAACAAAAACCCTAATGAGGAGGCAGAGCCAGTCCAAGCTCACCAGTGTATAAAAGGAGACTCCTGAAAGGACCAGGGAGCAAGTGAACAGGGACAGCAAACAAGTCAATTCACAAGTCAGTTTACAGCCCCCCTCTTTGAAGGGAAGCCTTTAAGGTAAGCTCTTCCTTTAATTAAAAGTAGCTAACCTACATATATTTAGTGTAAGTAACTAAAACTCAGGAGTTAGACCCACACTTAAGACCCGTGCTTAATTAGAGTCCTGCGCAAAGGGAGTTAACTAGGGAGTTGGCCTTGGAAACTCCTTCTCACTCTTCCTTTGCTGTAAGCTTGGTGAAAGGAAGCAAGGGAAAAGGGAACCTTTTGGGATCAAGGATCAGTGAACAGGCCAGCTTACAGGGGAGTTTGCTAGGGAAGGTCTGCTTGGAAAGAGGGGCAGGAAGACAGAGGCAGCCAATTAAGAGACCCAGAGAAATGGTTGGAAGACATCAGCTCTTCCTCTGCTTGCACACGTGAGGTGTCTGTCCAGGTACATGCATTCCCAAAGAATGACACATAAAGCAAATCCACTTTATAACATAACAAATAAGGATAGGTTCCCATGTTGGCTGCTCCTGGGGCCACTCCAGCATGGGCTGGGGTGAATGCAGACAAGCAGAGCCCCGGGCTGTGCAGGGCATGGCACTCACTGTGGCCCCAGGAACAGCCAACACCAGCTGCCTGTAGCAGCTGGGCTGCACCATGCCCCAAACCCCTGGGGCTTTGCTGGTCCCCACTCACCCTAGCTCATGCTGGAGTGGCCCTGGGAGCAGCTGACACCAGCTGCCTGCACCAGAGCACAGTGCAGCCCAGTGGCTGCAGGCAGCTGGTGTCGGCCGCTCTCGATGTCGTGGGAGAAAACTCCCTGGAGTTCGTTGTCTAGCTGCATAGGAACAAGGCAACACGGGTAAAGGCTTTACTGCAGTTTATTTGCTCGAGGAAATGACCATAAGCCAGCAAAGAGGCAAAATGGCCCCCCCTAAAGGGTGGGGCGTTCTTTTATACTTTTTACAATAAGGCAAGACTACAGGGTTAACAAAAAGCAATACTTGGGCGGTGCTTCACAAATCTTCATAACAGCATATTTCTGTTAAGCTAGCACTTTTCTAAAAGCTAAAGTTAAACAGCGGTAACATTATGATATGTTAGCAAAAACTTGCACAGTAATAGATATTTCTTAAGGACACGATCACTTTACTTAGAACAATGGCTTCCTTGTCTTATCTTGTTCCTTGCTGTAGCTGGTTTACAGTACACAGACTTACACAGGTTCACTTGCTGCCTTTCACTCAGAAAATGGTTAACACAGTTAAAATGATTATTTAACATAAGCAAATGGCTGGCTTAGCTATTATTCTGCCTTGTGGTCAGCAGCATTGCTAGGCCACAGGTCATGCCTTGTATTCAGCTGCAAATCTAATACTTCTCAATAATCTAAATTATTGTTAACCTAACAGTATGCTATCAGAAAACTATTTTATTTCAGGGTAATAACAAACTTGCCTATCACACCGGGGCCAGGGTGAGTGTCGAGCCCTGCACCACCACCACCCCCCAGGCTCTGCTTGTCTGCACTTACCCCAGCTTGTGCTGGAGTGGCCCCAGGAGCAATCAACACCAGCTGCCTACACCAGGGCATGGTGCAGCCTAGGAGCAGAGGTGAGTGCAGACAAGTGTAGCCCCAGGCAGTGCAGGGTACTGCATTCACCCCAGAGCCCAGGTGTGGGGGGGACGGGAAACACGGTGCAGCCCAGCAGCTGCAGGCAGCTGGTGCTGGCTGCTCCCGGGGCTGCTGCAGCCAGGGCTGGGGTGAGTGGGGCCATGGCCCTTTCCCCTCCCCCCACAGACTTACCTGCTTGGGTGGAGGGGAAGGTGTCTATGCTGATTGCATAAGAGTGAATTCTCATATAAAGAACCTGCATAAATCAAGGGAAACCTGTAGGTGGTTTTGGCAAGTCGCACAGAATCTATAGGCTGTAGAGCAGTGGTTCTCAACCTCCTTTGACTCAAGGCACCCCTTATTTCACTTGAGGCACCCTTCCATAACTTCTGTGAATTGAAAAACATCCCATTTCAAGAACTAACTTACTTATTAGTGTGCTTAACTCCTTGCAGAGGGTCCAGGCAGTGGGGGTGGGGAAACAGCCAAGCAGCGAGGAGGCTGAGCCTGCACTTGTCTGCTTCACCTTGCTTATCTCCTTACTTATCTTCTGACACCTTGTGGCAGCGTTCAGAAGATCTCCCAGCACCCCAAGGTTCACCAGCACCCAGGTTGAAAACCACTGTTCTAGCAAACTCTCCCCTACCCCCAGGGTTTCAGTTTCCACGGTAAATATTGGTGGACCACCCCAGCTAGGTGCCTGTGTCCTTCCAGAGCCCAGGGCCTTTGGTTCAAACTAAAGGAAGGCACTGCAGTAACTCAGCCCCACTGTCCCAGGACCTGCAGGAAATTTGAGATCTCCACTCCCTGAGTGCTCTTCAGATTGGGACTGGGTGGCTTCCATACCCTCCCCCAACATCTGGATTGGGGCTGCTCCACCCCACCCTGGGCAGATGGATGGATTAAGGTCAGGCTGCGCAACCACCTGCACCCAGATAGGGCTCATTGGCCAGACTGGGCCTGCACAGGGACTTGGCATGGGCCATCCGGCCCACAGTGTGGAAAGGTTGGGCACCACTGTCTTACATGGCTTCCTCAAGGACTGGGGGTAACAAGCTAAAGAGTTATCTTTCACTCTTGCTTTCCAAACGGGACTGCATCAGATGTGAAAATAGAAACACCCCATCAGCTGCTCCAAATGGGGGTGGGTCTAGTGGGGATGCAGTAGTTCAGTTGCATCCCACTCCACCTCTGATTCGCCTTTGATTCCTGCTGTACCCAAATTTTAAAACCAACTGCCTGGGAGAGACAACAACATTTCTAGTCAGGTAGCAGTGAGGGAGTCAACTGAATTTGTGGCTCATTATCATCTACCTGATTTCTGCTAATGTCTCTTCATTCCATAAGAGTTAATGACCCTCTCTGCTTCTGAATGGTTTTGATGTTCTGCTATTTAAACTACCCTTTCTTCTTCAAGTTTTCTATCTGTTATCCATTCGTGGTAGTGTCTTTTTTATTACAGAACCCTGAAGAATGTTTCTACCTCTAGGTAAGAATCTTAAATGACTGATAGTGAAGTATTGGAGGCACTGGCAAGATGCTCAAGAAGGTTAAGGAGTCAAAAGACATATAAGCATATTGTAGCTGAATTTAAACATGTAACCCAACTATGGTTTTGTGGGTTTTTAAAGTCACTTCTAAACCAATCTCATGATTTTGGGGCCTGTAAGGACCAAACCAAGGTGCTTTGGGAATTGCATAGAGGCATATGATGGACAGTTTTGGAAGTGTGGGTAAGGTTGTTCAAAACTGCCCTGGTCACAATTCATTTGCATTCTAGAAACATTGGAGTATAACTTGTTATTAGATACTTTTCCACTTTCCAACAGCTCCATTCCTGGATCTGTGTGTGTTAAACTACCTGCATGGTCCTGATCAGGGTTCTAGTCACACCCATGTGACATCCCAGAGTTTGCTGCACCTCTTAGAAGGTGACAGTGCATGGAAATGACTACAGCAGGGCAGTGGTTTGGACTCTCACTTGAGGTTGACAGCACCTGGTTTCCCAGCATCTCAAGGAACGTGTAAATATTGTGTACAAAGGGGAATGACAGCCTGTTAAGAACCAGAGCATGGACATATAGGAAAGGTCATCTGGTTCAGCGGGTAAAATCTGAACTGGGTCTACAAGGAGCCAGGAATCAAGCTGGGGTCACAGTAAGCCACTCATCAGAGCCTCAGTCAAGGTAAGCCAGGAGTCTAAATCAGAGTTTCAAGTAAGCAGAGTCAAGGGACTATGAAGGGGTCATAAACAAGCATCACAGCTTTTGCCTAGCTGTCTGTGGCTTGCTTTTAAAGGCTGAAAATGGGTGGGAGTTGTTTCCTACAGCCTCAGGGTCCCAGGAGTTTCCTGATTGTTTGATTGGGACCAACTGGGCCCAGGGCCTTCATCTAAACTTATAATACCACCTCAGAATACCTGCAGCCTGGTAATCAGGACAGTTTCTTGAGAGAGAGAGAGAGAATACATCTGTTCAAATCCCTTTTCTGAATGAGGTCATGTGATAGGAGACCCAGGTTCAAGCTACTTCCCAGGTGAGTGTTCTAACTTCTGGACTTCGTAGTGAGGGGACCAACCTTTGGTTGGTTTTGGTTATTTGTCAGACACCAGTTCTTTGCCAAAGTTGACCTGAATTTGGCAGTAGTTTCAGGACAAATAAAACAGTATTTCCAACCACTACTTTATTCAACTAAATAAATTAAAAAACTAAATACAAAAAATAATTCCATGCTAGTAGTGGCAGCATCACAATGGTGGGTGATGTGCTGCTCTCTTCTCCATATGTTGCAGAAGGCAGATTCTGGGGAAACATGTGATGATTCCCTGTCATGATTTCTTCCTTTTACCCTTCTTGGAGGAGGTTCCATTGCTTCAGCCTGTCAAATGAACCAGAGGTTGTGTTCAAATAGCAAGTTCCTCTACCTTCCCTCCTCCCAGCTTTTCCCATGAGCTACTTTCCTCTGTCTGCTTCTTCTTCCTACTTTTATGCTGCTTATCATTTCCCCACCTCTTACACTTGCCCACCTTTCTTAATTGACCCAGCAAACAGCACAGGAAAATGCAAAAGATGCAGCCTTGCCAGGAGAACAAGCAATCAGTGCAGCTCTGCCTGAACAGCAGTGAGTCAGCCCGGCAGTGATGAGCTACAGAAGACTGTGGGGCTGGGCTCTTTGGCTTCTCAGCACCATTTTGACTTGGTTGTCTGAGCAGTGTGTGATGCATCTGCCGCTAGCTACTGAGAGCAAAATGGGGCTGTCACACACATGAACTCAGCATTCACTCTTTTAATCTCCTTGTTTTTATTCTCTATTTTCTCCATGTGCTAATGCAGATCACAAGAGATGGGGAAAAGCTAAAATATTCATAACTCAAGGCAAGGGAAGGAAGGTGGGGGGGACAGGGTGTGTTTAAACAGTATTGCTTTCACAACTTCTGGGACAAACATGTCCTTGTATGCCCAAGCATCAGTCCAGATATATGGGCTGTTTCACAAGCAGACCCCCATCCAGACAGAATTGCAAAATCCATGGAGAGCTCCAGTGGGTCTACACATGCAATTTAATGTGCAGACAACTGCTGGGAAGGGAACAGTTCCCTCACCCCCTGCTGCCTGGGCTGACTGACAGTAATTTGCTCCCAGTCAGCTGTCTACATGAGCAGTAGTTCATTCACAGTTAATTTACTACCTGTATTTACAGGTAGTAGAAAACCACACAGCCTTCTTTACTGCACAGTAGCTGCTGCACGTGGTTAAAGGGTGATGCCGTACTGTGCAGTAGATTAGTCTACTGCGTAGTAAAGTGTCTAACGTAAACAAATCCAGTATTTGATATTCAGTGGCCTCCCATCGATCCTAGTGTTTTTCATGATGTAGGAACCCTGATACCAGGAACATTCTCCTCACCCAAGCTTTTAAAGTTTGAAAAGTACCAAGTCTCTATAATAATAAGAAATCTACAATTAGGAAGCAAGTGCACTCACATGGGGGGCTCATAATAGACTGACATTGATTGGATGCAGTGATGATGGTTTCACATACAGCCTTCTCGGTGGGAGGGGTGGAAATTGCTGGGAGAAAATAAGAATATCTTAGAATTAAATATGGTTGAAAAGTTTATACTAAAACATTTTTGGATCCCCAGAATAACTTTTTAGCTCAAAATGAAAATTTTCACAAGAGATGTTCATTTAGATTAAAATTTTCCCATTTTTAATGAGAAGCCAGAACACTCTTCCCCCCCCAAAAAATTATTGGGTTTTTGTGGCAGTGTACCTTTGGGTGCTTGCCACTTTAAGGGCTGGAGCAGGCACCTGGCAGGTGCTTGATTAGTGTGGCCATTTTAAAACCAAGGCCAGCCAGGTAGAGCCAGGAGTGTATTGTTTGCAACTGAGGGAGCAACATCACCTGGCTGAGCTGAGGTTCATAACATCCTGAAGGTAAAGGTAGGAGCTAGGAGGCTCCTGGTCCTGGGCATGACCTAAAACGGAACCCTGCTGGGGTAGGGAAGCTCCATGGGACTGCTGGTGGCATAGCAGGCCCAGTCAAATACCAGGACCACTCAACCCCTCCCCCCCCCAGGTGAAAGGTGGGTCAGGGCCCCTCAATAACCCCTACTTCCCACAACACTGTGGGTATAAGAGGGCCAGGCATGGTTGAGGCTACCTGAGCCCCCACAGGGAACTAAGACCCTTGAGGCCCCAGGGAGGGGTTAGATGTATAACCGCAGAGAGGGGGTGGTAGTGAGGGCCCTGATGAGGGCTGAGTAGGGGTGAGGGTCAGCCTGAAGGGCAGCCCAAGGTGGTGTGCTGAGTAGAGCTGTGGCATAGCCTGAAGGGCAGCACATGGGCAAACCCCCTGAAGATCAAGTTGTTGGATGTAAGAAGCCCGGTGAGGGGCTAGGGTGGAGTTAGCCCCCTGTGTTGTGAATGGGCTGCCCACTACCCAAGTGAGGGTCATGAGAGAGGCCCAACAGACTGCATGTCGCCACCTGAGGCATGAGATGGATAAGCCTGATGGCCTACAGGGTCACTCAAGGGAGCAGGGCAGAGTGAAGGGGGCACAGTATTGTGCAGCAGACAAGAGACCCTGTGAGAGAGGGGGGTGGTATGAGTGCATGTATGAATAAGGCCTGACTAAGAACTAAGTTGGCCTGGCTTTAGGCCGGGAGAATAATGTCATCCTGGATGCTATCTACAAGGCATGGGCTGCAGCGCAGGGAAGGCTCAGAGCTGTGGATAGCACCTGCTGGCACCAGGGTGTGTAATGGGCAGCCTCCCATATTATACCACCAGTTAAGGAACAACAAAGTCATGGCAGGTGAGATTGCCCCATAGACAGGTGGGTGGGCTGACTCGAGACCCAGCCCCGAGCTTGCCCCGTCACAGTTTTGAATGTCAGAAAACAAACTGGTACCAAAATCAAAGAAAACGTTTCCAAATTTGTTTTCAGAAACTTGACAGGTTTTTTTTACTGTTGGTTTTGCATGGGAAATATTGAACTAAAAGAGAGACACCTTTCTAAACAGGTCTCAAATGTTTTGCATCAACTACCTCTTCAAATAAATATTTAAGCTTTGTTGCAGTTTCATATTGTGCCATTGTTATAGAAAGTATATTCCTGTTCCCTTTCTTAGTTCAAATGGAGTTAGATTCAGTACTGCCCTGAGGACCTCAGAAGAAAGCAAGACATCTGAGATCAACTAGAAAGGGCAGGAGCATGTGGAAAATCTAGGGAGCTGCTGGTTCAGATGAAGTGTGAAGGAATCAAATAGGAGACATATGCCCCACCCCTGAAAAAGAACAGGGAATCGCAGACACAGAGGAGATGGGAAGAATGTGCGGGATTTTTCAGCCTCTGAAGGTCATGAATCTGCTATTTGCAGTCCTCAGATGGGAACCATGGGTACAGGAATGTGCTGCTAATCCCCCTCCACCCACATGCAGTGGGACAGCTAACCTCACCCACAAAAAGAGGGCACAGCACTGAACTTCTTCCTAGGAAAGGAGTTCACTGCTTATCTTCCCTCCACTCCCAAGAAAGGATACACTAATAGCACATCTACCTCACCACAGAGAGGAAGGTTATGCCACTAACCCCTTCCCTAATGTGTGGGTGAGGAGAGCTGCTAGCCTGCTCTGAGGAATGGGCTGCGCTGCTCAACAGTGTGTTGCCCCTTCAACTTCCCAAACAAGTACAAGAGAGGGATGTCATTTTACCACCATTAGGAAATCCTACAGCTCCCAAGTTAAAAAGCTCCCAATGGTGCATAGTAATTTTACCAAGGGCTGTTGGGGGTCCTTAAACATAGCATTCATCTTTTGTTTCAGGTAAATCCTTAAGGGACTTTAAGGAGCCTTGCCTTGCCTTTCCTTACCTTCTCCAAATCATCCACAAAGCTGGAGAAAAGCTGGTCATTTGGGGGAATGGGCAGGAAAAGAATAGGACACAGGAAGAGAATTGTCATTAAGCAGAGAAAAACCTAAGAGCACTACAGACTCTAAGGAGAAGATGGAACAGAGTCCAACTACCTTTCTTAAGAATGTTACAGTAACACTGAAACAGGAAAAGGAGTTTCCTCCCAGATGAAGGCAAGTATGGGATATGCATTGTGCCAGAAGATGAAGCTAAAGGAAGGCCTCTTACTGGCACAATCCCTATGCTCTTCCCTGGGCCCTGCTACAAGACAGGCTGTGCCATGTAGGAATAGACTCCAAGAGGCATTTGAAAGGTGGAAGTTTGATGTCCAGATTTTAATGCCAGAATGGGTCACCCTGATCCTCCCATCTGATCACTACTATTTGACAGACCATAGGATCCTATCTAGTATGCAGGTAGACAGAAGACAGGAAAGGATTCTATAACCTACTTCTATGTACCAATATAATAAAACTTTGACTTCCATTATTTATCAGTAACACTGTGTTGGTGAAAGGCTAGTGAATTCACAGATTGTATCTGGGAGCCTGTCATAAAAACTAGTCAGCACCTCAAACCTTTTTCCTTTCACAAGAACCACATGGTACAGAAAATGTCAAGGAGCATTTACTAATGGCATTAGCTACCAATTAAAACTCCATTGATCAAAGCAGAATGTGAGGTGTCCTGCCCTGGGTTTGCTTGCTTGCTAAACTTGCTCATGTAGGCCCCCTGCAGAGGTTATTTTGCTAGTACTACAAGAAGTATAGCACTACGAAAATGAAGTGCTATAGGCAGCCACACACTCAAACTCCCCCTGGCTAGAGTGTAGAGTTGCCACAGAGCCACACTCTCCAGCCAGGGAGCAATAAAGAGCTGCTCTATACCCAGCTGGAGTTGATCTGGCATTGCCTGGGAGCCTATTAGAGTTCCCTGTGTTTAATGGACTACTGGAGTTGGAGCTACAGCAATCCTTTACATTGTCAGGGTTGCTGGTGGCCCATCACCCTTGTTAGGCAGCCTACACCCCAATAAGCCCCTGCTGCCACCTGCACAGCTCTGGCAACTTTGCCATTATACAGCAATGGTAATAGGGTTGTCCATGAGTCTGATCCCAGGGCTGTGCCCCCAACCAGTTGTTGCCACTTGCACTGGGGGCAAGCATGAATAGGTCTCCTTGAAAGCACAACAGGAGCCACTGGGGGGGAGGGTACAGACCCCACAACAGCCTCTGCCACCATTTGCAGGGAATCCCCTTAGCCTTACCACCCAAGCAGGGCTGTTCCTGGGCACCCTGTGAGGTGAGGGCCAGCTCTGCAGGTACTGGGACTGTTATGGATGCCTCCCCAGGTACCCAGGCCTTTAAAGAGAGCATGGGCAGGCCAGCACCAGGGAGCAGGTCTTGCCAGCACCATACTTCTTGGGTGCCCAGAACTTTAAAGGGCCTCCAAGAAGGTTGGGAGCCATGTAAGGGTTTTGGGTCTCAGGCTGCCTGAGAGCAGGAAAGAAAGATTTCTTCCACCAGGTAGCCTCTGCCCTGGCAGTCCTGTCTCCGTTGCTGCTGGGTTGCAGTGCAGGCAGGGCAGCTTGCAAGCCTCCATGACAGCTCATGCTGGGCAGGCTGTGAAGGAGCCAGCTGCTCTCCCCATTTGAGTCAGCAACTTTGTCATGGATGCACTATATCTGTGGCAGATTGGCCATTTCTTTCTCTGGACAACTTCCTTTACTGTCTGGCATGTTACCATTTATTGCGGGAATCTTGCATGCTGTGGTGGGCCAGTAAGGGGTGCTCCTGCATTGAGCCACCCACCTCACTGAACCCGACCAACTTCCATGCTTGGAGTGCCTGCCTGGAGGCACCTCACTTCCAGCCAACCCCCTTCCTGAAGCACACCTGCAAACCTGGGAGTAATGCTGCCACCACCCAGGGTTTGGACTTATCTTGGGCCTCTAGGAAACACAGGATTAGTAGTCCTTGAGGGTACCTGACCCACTGCAAGAACTTGGGGTACTTCCCTCACTCTGAGGCACAAATAGTGGTCTCTCTTAGCAGAAGGAAGGAGACCCCAAGGCATAATCTAGACCCTCTCCCAATAAGTCTCCCACACTAGGTACAGAGGAGAACTTTATTGGTTACAAGGAGTACGTTTGCTATAGGGCACAGGGTAGAGCAGTATCAGAGAAATACCTTACAGTAAACAGTGGCATAGTAGCCTTTGATTACCCATCTGTGTTACTGCAAGCTATATATCTAGTTAGATCTCAAGTAGCTTACTCACAAGTATCATCCAGAGGCAGGCAGTTCATTGAACATGAGTTTCAAGAGAGGGAGCGAGTTTCAGATGGTCTAGCTTCTCTGAGAGTTCTCATCATGGCTGCTCTGCTGCCCTGCCTTCTGGGCAGTCCTTAACATATATATGACCTCATTTACCTGATCCAATTTAGGCCAGCAATTGTTGGCTGCCAGCCAACCAATTTGAAATGCATTACTGGTTGCTAGATAGACTGGCAGGGTCTCTAGCTCCCTCCCCATCATGATGACATTGCTTAAAACAGTAGGGAGTTTAAGCCCCCACCCAGGTGTCTGAGGCCAGTCACATAGGCAGAGGAAGCAGGTTTCCCCCCTCCCTCTGGAATGTATCCAGCTCAGGTTACAACTCAGGGTTAACTGAAGCTGATGGGGCCAGAGGTGTCTGCCCTCTGCAGTGACCATGGTAACCAAATTGTAAGATTAGGCATCCACCTAATAGCAGAGTTTGGGGAGAGACAGAGATAGCATTCTGCCATACATGCACCCCACAATAAATGTAAGATCTGGAGGGGCTTTGCACACTGCAGTGGGTGTACCGGTTGACAGTGTGAGGTAGTGACATTCTGCAGCGGAACGACTGCTCTTAGATTCCCCACTGAGTCCCCCTTACCTGGTAAGGAGCAGAGAATGGTTTAACTGGAGATAAAACACTTGTAGCCATCTCCCTCAACACATTAGTCTGGGCTCGTTTCACTTGACGGTGGTCTTGAGGAGCCTGTCTTCTGGGCAACTGCAGAGGAGATGCATTGAGTGTTAGTAAAAGGGACAGGAGGCCCCATGGTTCCAGAGCCCTCCCAAAGTAGGTTATGAGAACAGAAGAAAATCCTCATGTGCACTGCAGGAATGGCATGGGGGAGAGAGCAGGGTCTGGGAATAGTTGTCAGGGGAGGCCAGTCAGGTGGAAGATGGAGCAAGGTGGCAGTGCTTTCAGGTGTGTCAGGTCTAAACAGTGGGTCAGCTTGGAATATTGAAATCTAGATTACTGAGTGATGTTCATTTTTAGTGCCCTTGGAAGAAAGCCACCTCTGATTGCCTGTGTGCAATGCTGCTTCTCTTCCTGGGGCAAAGCAGCCAAGCACAGTGATCTCCTGTGCCTTGTAGAAGCCTAAAAGCAGTTTTGGACCAGTGAGCTCTGGGTTAGTTAGATGTACTGCAGTCCAGGCAGTGGTAGCAAGAGAGAGATCTCATTGGCAAGGGGGCAGGTATTTGTGTGCAGAGTAGAGCAAGTGGGAGGACCGCATGGGCTTGTCAGAGGGACAGTGGGTGGTGCAGCATGAGCAGGGGGGTGAGAAGCTCCAGGCAGAGTGCAGGAGGGTTCAGCACCCACACATGTATATCTGCATGTGTGAGGGAGGTGCTTGCCCTTCCTGCCCTTGGGCTAGCATCAGTGGATGTGGGAGTGGGTAAAGGGAAGGGGCAAAGCTGCTTGCCCACATCTCCAGGCAGCACCATCCTTTCCCCCAGGTTTGGGAAGCAGAAATTGGGAGGAGGGGTTGCTGCTGCTGGACACTGATCACCACCATGGAAGTGTGGCTAGGCTAGTCTGGTAAGCCAGCAAGGTCGTGGGCCACCGACTTTCTCATTTGGATGACAGTAGTGCCAATCTGTGCAAATAAAACAAGGCAGCCTAAGGTCCGAGAGTGCTCCATGCCTAGGGGCACCTCTCCTCTTCCTGGCTACTGCGTCTGGGAAAGCAGGAACATCTCCATCCCAGATCCCTCTCTGTCCTCTGCATTCTGTCATCAGTAAAACCAGGCTCCCACTTCTCTCCATCCCACCCTCCTTCTCTGGTTTTCTGTGCATGTCTAAAAGATGCAGGAACTTCAGAAAAGTATGAGAGACAGACAGAGCCCCTAAGACCTGAGCCAGGAGCTCAGCGAGATGACCATGTAGGGCAACAAGATGCCCCTGTATTCCCTGCCAGCCCCTGAGTATGTGGGAAGCAACTACTGCTGCTGGAAGGCTGCTACTTTCCCTCCCACAAATGTGGGTGGAGAATGGCAGGTGCTTTGGCTTTCCTCACAGTGCTAGCAGTGCACTGGAATTGGCACGGAACAGTAAACAATCTGTGGCAGAAAACAGGCTGACGCAGACTTCTTCCTTTCTGGTGAAAGCATGAGCTAAACTCTGCCTCTGCAACAGTCTACTCCCTGCTCTGGTCCTGAGCCAATACAGCTGTGCACTGCTGCTTACTTAACATGCACTGGAATGCACCAGTGCACGCACAGGGATTACACCAATGCCCCTTTGTAGTGCTTCTAGCCCTACTCTTCTATGATTCTAGATGTGGATTATACTTTGCATACACATGCTCTTTTTCCTGCTTTCATTCCCTCTCACCTGATGGTTCATGCTTGATAGTTTGGGCAGCTGCCTCCCAACTCTATACATCGTTTTGTATGTAGGTGAACAGCCGAGATGGATTCTTGTAACAGTTGAGGATCTACCAGGCATCTGCAGTGGAACACAACAACATAATTATGGTACCATTTTCACACACACTCATAGACAAAAGTGTATTAAAGGCAGAGGGGGACAATACAGTACCTGCTTTGGGCCAGTATTGTCATGACAGTTTGAGCTGGGATGAGGCCCACCAGGTTCCGACCACAGATGAATGCCATACTTCCCTCCTGAAACAACAGCTGGGAGATCAGAGGTAAATGTTAGGAAGACAATTCCACATAACTCTCCTATTACAAACCATGGGACCTCATGGTGAATGACACCACTACAAAACCAATATAAAACATGTGATATATCCGGCTTACTGGGATAAAAGCTGTGAAATTGTTAAAGGACATTCAGTCTCTCACCTGGCATACTGCACAGTGTTTCTGGCACTTCAGCATTCTCTTTCAAGCTGGTTTTACTTGCAATATAATGACACCATTACATTCACTTTTTGCCTTCTGTTTAATGAGAATAATTTAGCCAAACAAATCTGCTTCTTTTGCATCACTACTGTGATACCATGACCAAAATGGTACCTAAAAGCAATGTTTTAAACAGGCTGGTTTGTCCAAGCTTAGAGATGCCGATAAGTTTGTGTGCTGTTATCTATCATACAAACAATATCCAAGGTAGCTTGTTCAGAGGTACTGATAGTTCAGATACCAAAAGCATCATGGCAATATTAGCACCTGGATTAATAAATCTTGCCGAGAAGCAGGTTATATTAGCCCAGGTAGTGTTGCAGGAACACAGCTGTGTTACTGCTAGAACCTAAGGATAGTTCAGTTAGAGAGAGACTGGAATTCAACAGCAGCAGCTCCAGTCCATGTTAATCTGAATGTTTATCTTTTTCGTCAAAAGGAAGATATTATAATAATTGATATGCCCTAGAAGACAATCCAACTGGGGGAGGGGGACCCTTACAAAATCACTTTCCACCTGCAAGGTTTAAAGGGTGTTGAAGTAAAGCTATAATTTTAATCTCAGTGCTTTGGCTAGTTAGTGCTTTGGATACTTTGCCTTCATTATCTGTATAAAAAATGTCATGGGGGTTGTTGGCATCAGCAGATCTAGGACCTTGAAAAGGTGGGTGTGGATGGTGTGGCACATCAGCTCATATAACACAATACATTTTTCTCCTGTAAAAGAGAAACTAGAAGCTTTACTGATGTGTTAAGGGGTGAGCACTATATTATTCAGTTTAAGATCAAAGCAAAACTAATATAACTATTGGAATGTGCACCAGGGGTTTGCGAAACGGCACTATTCTGTTTCGACGGGACAGTGTTTTGTTTCGAGTTTCATTTCATTTCAAAGCACTGTTCCATTTTGTTTTGTCAAAAAAATTTGGCTGTTTCAGCGCTGTTTCAACATTTTGCCCATAGATTATAATGGAGAACCACAAAACAACTATAAATGTGCCTATAACTTTGTCATTTCTTGCCTGATTTGGATAAAACATGCAGGGCTGGCAGCCCCTTCTGAGCCCATGAAGCCTGCCAAGGTTCAAGGAGATAGATGCAGAGGTTTCTGGGAAACTGCACCTCAAAATTGTGAAAGCAAAACTCGTGTCACGTGTATGTATTAAGCCACAGCTGGATGAAAACTGCAGAGATGGTGCCATCTGCTGAGGGCATGAAGCCTGCCAAGTTTCAAGGAGCTAGGTGCAGGGGTGTCTGGGAAACTGTACCTCAAAACTGCTGACAAGCAAAACTCGTGACATGCGTGACACTGTGTGTGTGTTAAGGCATAGGGGGAGTGAAAACTGCAGGGATGGTGGCCCCTTCTGAGGCCATGAAGCCTGACAGCTTTCAAGAAGATAGGTGCAGCGGCTTCTGGGTTCTGAGACCCTGCACCTTAGGCTGCTGACAGGCAAAACTTGTGACATGGGTGCTTGTGCGACTGTGTCTGTGTTAGGGAACAGGGAGGTGAAAACTGCTGCTAGGCCTGCTGCAGCCATGAAGGCTGCCAGCTGTCGGGGAGATAGGTGCAGGGGGTTCTGCACCTGAGACTGCTGATAGGCAAAACTCATTACATGGGTGCTTGTATGACTCTGTGTGTGTGTGTGTGTGTGTGTGTGTGTGTGTGTGTGTGTGTTAAGGTGCACCCTCACTGGCACTGGGGCATCTACACAACATGGCAGTGTACCCCAACGAGGCCTCCTCCCCTACAGTCTCAGTCCAGTCCACCACTTTAAATGACAACAGGTAAGACAATCTGGTGTCTTTTAGTAGAGAAATAGTAGTTAGAGAAATGTATCTTAGGAAGCTTTTGAGTTGAAAAACCCTTTGTCAGGCTGAGGAAGCACCTGTATTTGGTCTGTGTGTCTGCTGGTCCTGGACGGAAGAAATAGTAAGGAAGTCAGAGGCTGGCCTGGCATGAAATGCAGGCAAGAAAGCCAGTCAGTGAAAATGGAAATGGAGGCGTCAGGGGGTGAGGGACAGGCTGGGGGGTGGGACGTAGCAATGCACGTAAAAGTGCACAGGTACGTGGGGAGTCAGATGTCTGGCAGGTTGCAGTGTGTCAGAATTCTACTGCGTATATTGAGTCCATGAGTTTCTGTACCTAGGAGGCTGATGAAGTGAAGTTCATAGGACCGCAAAGGATCAAGGGTTTCCTGGTGCTCTCGTTCAACACCCCCCACCAGTGTCTGGACATGTGGTGACAGTGGCTTGCCCTAGCCAGGAACACTGATCCCCTGGAAGCTCTCCATTTGGCTCTGAAGTTCCCTCACTATGGGGATCACCTGGCTAAGGAGGGCATTGGCAGCGCTGAGGGTCTTAGTGGCCTCAAGGAAGAGCTTGAGGACCACCAAGATCTGGGAGATGGTATCCCACTCTGTTTTGTTAAGGGGGCTGCTGATCCCAATCTCCCCAAGCAAGGCCATCTCATGGATGGCCTTT